CAAAATACCAAAAGCACATATGTTATAAAGCTTTTGAATTTTAAAAAAGGTTTTGTAAGAAAATAAACTTGCCGATTCCTGCAAGAGGCAACAGCTAAAGCCATTGGTCAGTCGGCTTGGAAATGCGCATCAATCGGGAGCATCGTCGTTTGAATAGCGTCGCTTCCAACCTATTCAGGCAAGAAATCGGTATATACCTAAGAAGCAACTTTGAATATCGTGGTGTAATGAAGAATATGGGAGTGCCTTCACGGCGTGTTAAAGCGGCGTTAATTATGTTGACGGCTGCGTAAAATTTAATATCGTTATCGTCGAAAACATGTTGGTATCTCTTGAAGAAACATATTATCATTAGCGCTGCATTAATAATTGGTTGGCAGCTGGACGGGACACATCAACTGCTAAACTTTCCTTATAAAATCTCAGTGGAAAAATATAATTTCGACTTTTCAATACCCTACACCACTTGCAGGGTACATTAAGGTTGTGCGAATGTATGTAACATCCAGAAAGATTTGCAATAGACCAAACTTTAATTATGCCGATCGATCCATTCGTTAAACGACTTAATCCTCTATGCCCGTCTGTCTGTCTGAACCTACAAGCCGCAAATTTTGAGATATTTCGTATACTGACGAGTTTTGGCGCAAGTATGAACGCTATTGAAAATGGTTCTAATCGGAAAACTTTTGCAATTTTTTTGAATAGGGATGGTTCAGAGTATTTTAGGGTAGATCGCATCCCACTACACTGTTTTTACTTGTTTTACTTTTAAAATGCAGTCTCAATGTAGAAATGATGTAAGAATGTCCAAATTTTTAATTGTGCCAGCGCTGTTGTCTTTGGTACGTACCATCCGCACTAGAGTAGATTTTTTGATCGGCATTTTAACTGACTCTAGGGCGTTAATACGATAGATCGATATCTCTTATGGGCGCAGAGGTAATTTCTGCAAATGCTTGCAGCAAATCTCAGACCAACATCTGCCTCAAAAATTTAATCTTGTTTATCTGCCCACAGTGTCTTAGTCCAAGGACGAACACTATTGATTCAGATCGGATCACCTTTTTCCACCCATTCCCATATAATAATAATGCCTTATTTTGAATAGTCATGAGCCGCGGCTTACTGCAGCATTTTTACTTATTTCTAGTTCTTTTCCTACATCTTATGCGACTGAAAGTGTCATTAACGTACAGTGTTTGGCTGTCCATAACCGCCACAATGTTTGCAATGGTATGCTCAACGTGGTTTCCGATTCCCCGCTTTTGATGTATTATAAAGTTATCATAGCACTCTCAGGCAACGGCAAATAACCTACGATACTTATGCTATGTTATTGTATTAACTATGCGTTCACACGTAGTATTTAAAATGACTAATTTTTTAATAACATTTGAAGTGACTGAAATTTAAATTAATACAAAATTATTTTTGATATACATATATTTTGCACAGAGTATTTCTCGCTCTTCTCCAGACCGGTTTTTCAATAGTTACTTAATCATGTGCACCATACAATTTTCGGTATTGAGGAAAATGCCGCTCTTTTGCTAATATTTGTACTTATGTAGAAAACAAAAACAAATTTTTTATGTACCTCAAGAGCAAATTAAAACCAAAACGAAAACGAATATAAATAGTAAAGTATTTTTTACGAATGCAAACAATTTCACTCTTTATGTATGCATATGTGAAGTGTAAAAATCGAACGGTTATTTTTACTGTTTCTTCCGGCATCTTTGGCAATAAAGAGAAAAAAATTCGAAATCCACCACAAACCATACAAACTAAGAGAATTTGGAAGGTACTGAGGTGGTATTCTTGAGCGTGCGCACTTTTTAGAAAACATATTGCCTTGCTAATTTTTACACATAAATTGATTTAATTAATTACAACAATTGCTTGAAAAGAAAATGTAAGAAACATGTAAAAAAATATACGACTGCAACAAGAACTTGAAAAATAATATAATTTTAAAGGTTATACAGCAATATATAGAACCAGATTTTGTATATTTTGTGCTGTACAGTTTTTTGCCTTACCATATGGGATATTTCGCACGCGAAAATATAAGAAAAAGCAATAAAACAAAAATTTTCATTTTTATGCCCACCAGCGAAGGTTGAGAGATATATTCAATTTATCAAAACGTTTGCAAACACCCATTAGGAAACAGGAAATATATAAAATTTATATATTCTAGATCACATTAGCATTAAATTTTGAATCAATTTAGGCGTTCTCTCCGTTCTGCCCTGTGAATAGGTCGGTCCAGGCAACAAATTTTGCAGAGATATTGCTAGCTCTTGCACACAAATTGCTATTGAAAAATGGCCAAATCGGTCAGAAGTTGCAGCATGGGTTTAACGTGAATTCCTGCCAGCAAGGCTTAACCTCACGGTGGCCCATGCCACGGGGGTTATTAAGCGTAACCCACGCCTCCTGGCGAGTTAGACAATCCCTATAAACTAGGAGCCTAAACAGCACCAGAGTCCAGATTGTTTATTGTGCATGGATCAATATACCCACTCTGGTCAGTGTTGAGGCCTAGCTGCTCTCGATTTGTTCCACTTTGGCTTGGAACAGTGTAACCACAACCACCACGAGTACTCCCCCAATATAAACTTCTTAGTTCCTCCGCTTTCATAAGTAAAAAATTAATTTTTTTCTTTACTGCTCACATACTACAGCGAATACAACGTACAACTACTTTTATGTATATTCTTTGGATGATGTGACCAAAATGGCAAATATCGATCACGCCCACAGAATGCTATACAGATTATCGAATTTCCATTTTATGGTGAAATGTTTACACCACCCTAACATAGTTTCGGAGACAAAATAAAGTATATCCGGCCACGTGATGTCCATGGTAAACATTAGAGCACCTCACGTTGGTATTGGAAAAAGAGCCAAATCAATCAGAGAACACGCCTACATTTCAGAATGCAGTAAGGGCACCTCTGTTTTCAAAAGCAAAAAATTCGGCTATTTCGACCCTTATATTCAAAAACTGCAATAAATTTTATCATAATAGTCATAATAGAATCTTAAAATGATCCTTAGCGGCATTATACACAAAGTAGAACTTAGTCAGGGCAAATACAATTCCGTAGCGAAATTCCGAAAGATGTCATATGTACTTGTTTTTGCATATGTCAAACATATGAGGAGTGCTGCAGTTTCAATAAAAAACTGAAACTGGCGATGCACGCTATGAAAATATATACCGAAGTTCGTCAGTTTAATTATGTTTTTAATTTAAAAGAAGAACGTGCAAAAACAGTGCAGGGAGCTGCGGCTCACCATTAAACATCCTACACAACTTCGCCTAATACGTTCTTTCATATGAAGACTTTTTAAAATAAGATATTATGAGGAAAGTCGCCGAAAAAATGGTTCGCCCCACTTTCAATAATGTCCTTTTTTGGTCCAAAACATGTCGGTGTAAGAAAGTTTATCAAAGTATGTGAAATCATGTGACTATAGGTTGGTCACAATTATACACGGGCACACTATTAAACGAACGAAGAGACAGACAAGCTTAGATCTATCGGTATAAAGAAAGAGGGATTTATCTCAAATCCTTTTGGGTGTTACACACATCCGCACAAAGTATGTAAAGTGTAAGAAAGTAATGCATTCGCTTTATTTCGTTTTTCGCATTAGTGAATGGACCAAATACGGATCCGAAAGTGATAAGCTAATGCATGTATCGGAAAGGATTGCCGATATTTCATAAAACGAACATTTTCATGTTCGATATGTTTCTAGCTTTGAGCAAGGAACGAGGGATATCGATCGAATTGAGTAAAAATCTAACCCAAATATTTATAACCAACTGGTTGGAGATCTTTACAAATGCTCCGAGAAATCTACAAGTTTGTGAGACAGTTTGTTTCTGAAATATAGTCGACACTTGTGGATTTTTAAATGGCTTGGTGCTGTTGATAAATGGAAATACACACTGTGTTGAGATATTTCTCATTAATAAAAAGCTGCTAATTTTCCTAAAGCAGAAGCATTACGTTTATGAGCGTCATAATATCCCTGCTGAGTTCATACTTTCTATCTAAAGGAAGTCCTTGTTTGCTTTTTTGTTTGTGCTTGAAAATTGACCTTCTGTCTGCTTTTAATAATAATAAAAAAAAACGCCAAGTACCCGGGATGAACAAGTAAGTAACTCTTGAGATATAGCAAAAGTAGGAAACACAAAACAATAGCTCACAGAGTGATGCTTACTACAGCAGGTTAATGTTACAAAAGAAGTATGTAAGAGACAAAAAAAAAAAAAAAAAAAAGAAAGAGGGAAAACAAAAGTAGAAGAAAAGGAGGAAAAAAGTCTACTTGTTAGACTGTCATCTAAAAATAGACGAATTTCACAATCTACTAACTGTTGCGTTACACTTCGCCGGGACACATCGACTCTGCCTTTCTGCACCATATTTTTTCTTTTTTAATTCACTGAACCGTTACGAGAAAAGAAAACCTGTCACAAACAAACTGCAATAGACCATGAGAATCAACCGAAACAGTATCTAATAAAGCTGCTAAAACCAAAACTGAAAATATATGAAAGAACTCCCACTTTTTATAAAGCGATAAATACCGATTAATGCCGGTTTTGCTTTCAAATCTCTTTATAAATATGTATAAAGCGACAATTTCCGGTTTTATAATCATATATAAAACAGCAACAATAAAACATCGAAAACTTTTAAAAATAACAAATTTAAACAATTGCATGTGTTTTAATTATTATGATGCGGTTGGTTTGAGCCGAGCTAGTGCAACTCTCATAACAATTTTTTTTTTTTTTTTTTTTTTTTTTTTGAACAACACACAAGTGAAACAACACAACAGAGTGCTCGAGAGATAGCTCTAGTCAGCGACTAACCCATAATCAGATATTTAAAAAAAAAAGAAGAGAGCTTATGTTCTAAACAACGCGACGATAATGAAGTAATTTCATGTAAGTATTGCTTGTTACTCACTTGGATTGTTGTTGCACTAAGTTATCCAATTTGGCCTGTATGGCCTCCGCCGAGGGTTGGTGAACTTCCCCAAGGAATGTGACGATTGATTTTGAGAGCGCCTCAATATCTTTATGTGATGATTTAAGTTCTTCAGACTCGTTAAGTACCTCCTGCGTTTAAAATAAACATATATATTTATTAAATTTTTTTTTTTAAATTGTTTACTGAAAAAGTATATCGGTGTGAAAAAAATGATTTCTCTTCACTTCGTTCTGTATACATAAATAGATATGTGTAAAGTAAATATAAGTAAAAGCACGTAATTGAGACTTTAAAGACTTAAGTCAAAGCGTCGCTGTGAATTAAAGAGTTTCGCAACCAGACATTTGAAGGTTAATGCCGCCGCGGAGCGGTTATGCAAAATTTATTTTTATTATTAAGTCTTTCTTTAGTCGTTTTATTTCTTTTTCTTTTCAAAAAAAGGTACACCGAGCACGTACCGTGAGTACAAGTAAATACAAATGTCTACAAAACGAATAAAATATACATATGTAAGCAGACAACGCTTTTTGTTATAATACAATATGGAGCAGGGAAATCTGGTGATCAAGCTATTAGGGCCTTACAATTGAACTGATAACGATCTGTCGGCAGCCAATGGCTGACAGTAGGTAGATACGAAAGCCGGTCAACCCGACGATCTATCGCATTGCTTTTTAACTTGTACTAAGGACTACTTAATTCTCGTTCTTCACCTCGAAAGAGTTCTCTACGTTAACATGGAACATGCGCAGATTTGCCTCTTCAACCAGCGATTTCTTCGCGTTTATGTTTTTCATCGCTGAGTTTCTTTTCCTTTCGAACGAATCTTTTAGTCGCGCCCTGCGCCCTCTATAAATATGAATTCAAGTTTGCAGTCGCGTCTAGATGAATGACCGCAACTTCGCTGAGCTACATATAACGCAACTGAACTAAAGCGAGCTTAGAGATTATATTTGTGTCAATAATAGCTCTGATATAATTTTGAGAGTAATGGCCGAAGGTAGCCCGCAGACATTTTCAAATATATTTCAGATATATAAGAATGCTCTGCTAAATGCGCGTACATAAAATCTATTAGGTCTGTGGCAATAGATTCTTCTAGCGAAAGTGTTAATACCAATATAATATCTTCAGCTTAGTAAGGAATTTTGCCAAGACGTGATGTACGCGTTAGCATATATTAGCTTATGAACACAAGTTTTGCATATGATGGATGTGTAAAGTGATAAATGAAAACTTCGCTTTAGAAAAAGTTATTATTATTGTAATCGCCGTGAGAGTGTTTGTGGTATTTTTAAGTGAGACAACCCAATTATAAATGAAATTAAAACGAAATCGAAATAAAAACTAACTACAGCTATAATTGTAGTAATAAAAAAAAAAAAAAAAAAACAACCAAAAAAACGTGATATTCAATTCAGGTCGAGTTTGTTATGCTCATAGCATAATGAAATCAAAAAAAATATTTATTTTAAAATTTCTAAAAACGATGGAGACGTAACATGCTATGTGAGCATACAGGTAAATGCCAGCAAACATATATAGCAACAATTAAAAATTCAACGCCACCTAGAAGCTAACGTTCCCAAGAAAGAGTATAACTAGCGCTATTATTGTACCGGATAATAAAGTTCAATATGTTTCACGCTGCAGCATATAAGTTCCTGCCCAAATGTGCAGAATATGCATTATGTGAACGTCCCAAGAAGCATTACGTTTCCTCTTTAACTGGAACTCAAACTCAGCTCAAATAAATGAAACGGAACCATAAATCTAAACAACTAGGATCAGTGTTCAGAGCGCGCAGGCTTACTCTGTGTATTTGACAGGGTCAGCTATAGATATAGATGCTAGAACTCAACGATACAATCACTGGCGTACGTTAGCAACAACAAGTAGCGCAAGTTAGACCACTATGAAATTAGAAAGGTCCTAACCAATAGACCAAAACACATGAAAATAGGAGTTTCAACATGACAATTGCTCAATGCTTTTTATTAGTTTTTTTTTTTTCTAAACGACTAGTCAACTCATGGTATGTCGGCTACTCGTGTAATACTGCGACGAGTAGAAGGAAGAGCAAGTGCAGAAAGGCAGAGATGTAGAAAGGTTGCAAAGCCTAGTGGGTCGGGTCCGGCAGGGTTTAGCGAAGCGGTATAGAGCACTTGTTGATGGACCATGGCCGAATAGAACCTTTTTACACGTATTATGTAGCACTTTTCATTTTCATGATTAAACTCCTACTTTTTGATTGTCGTCAATTGGATCATTTTGCTGCTATGTCTGCTAGGTAAGGCGCTCTAAAAGTTTTAAAACTCACCCAAAAAAAAGGAGATTAATGGCGAGTGAAAACACTTGCACCCTGATGAACTCCTTGTTATAGTTCGACACGTTATATCTTCTTAAAGACGTGCGCTCCCAAAAACATGACGAAACCGAATACATTCAGTCGTAACTGACAACTTCACGAATCGGTGAAATGTTTTTAGTTTCTATGCTACATTACCGTTGGTATCGCACCTTACGACATGATGAGCATCAGGTATAGCTTTCTGGCGTTGACGACAACAAACGTGCAGTAACCAAACAATAATTTTTGAGGCGTACACTATTTGACGAGAGTAGGGTATAAAATAGGTTACACGTTGTAACTACAAAAGCGTGTAAAATGTTTTAAAATTTATTTGGTTCTTTTATTTTACTCAATTTTAGGATTTTCAAAATTTGATACATTTTTAAAGCGATCCAGACTCCCTCCGTGAACAAGGATATGTGCGCAGAATGTTTTATGCCCTTTTTAAAGTGTACTTTTGAAAGTAATGTAGCGATAAAAACGATAATGGGAGAAAAACAAAGCTCATTATATACAGCATACAGAAGCAGATAGCACAACACAGGTTCGCTTCGATACTTCATAAATGAATTCATTTATACGATTTTTTCAATATTCTATAAACAAATACGGCATGACAAGGCAAGAAGGAGAAATCTTGACACATTGAATATGGGGTGGGTGTATAGGATTGATTGATGAGGATTACCTCCGAAAAGCACATTTCCCTAACGTTCTAACATAATTCATTATTTAAGAATATTTTGGAGGTCACTATAGAACGTAGATGCTCTGAATTAGGCGTGACAACAGGCGGATTGAACTAGTTCACTATTTTGTAGTAAAAGCCCCTGAAGTATTGCCATAAGCGTGTGCCTACTGTTATATATTCCAGTACATATATAAATTGATTTATTACGTTCCATGATATAAAATTAATCTAAAATTAGCCGAAAAAAAAATTTTAAGTTAATGTTATGTTAAGTAAAAAGTATCGACGCACAGTTGTTTCATTTGTTGTAGTTTTTGTTATTACCGTTTAAGGTAAAACTACAAATACGGCATAAGATTGTTTTTGCTATTTTTATCGCATGGAAAATTAATTTCAATTGCCTTTTCATACAATTCAAGGTAAGAGAAACTAATCGTGCTTAGAGTTTTTATACTTCGCACTCAAAATGAAGTGTACCAATTTTGCCTTCACTGTGAAGCATAGCACATTAATTTAGATTATCGAACGTTAGCAGCAGTGATTATACAAGACCTACAAGTATGTCCTTCCGTTCGTGTTCTACTGGTTATTTTCAATGTCCACAAAAAGATGATATTGGTTTCGAAATACTTTTAATCATAAAGTCCAAGCCCAGCATTGAGAAGGATATGAATAATTGGACAGACTTTTAAAATATAAAAAAGCATAATATTATCGTACATTTATTTGCTTATAACCTAACAATTTGGCGAGTGGCTACCCTTCAATGATCTTAAAACCTCGTCGAGAATTAACATTATGCGGCCAATGTTCATTGTCCAATTTCAGATGATACCACTCAGGCAATCAACGACTACTGATTTGGTCACGTTTCAAGGCGCGATAGGGTGGCGCGTATTGACTCGTCTAAGGCGGTTTCAGGAGTTTTGATAAACTACTTCTCGACGTACTACGTAGCCTAACATCGTACAGTGTCGGTCGATATAATGTGTGCAGAGAGTTCACTTTACTTCAGTTCAGTTCACTTTTGCGGATATGAGCATAAATTTACCGAGCTTGAAGTGCACAAGTGAAGACGCAAGGCAGTGAAAACTATTACATTGTGAAACAAGTAAAAATACTGCGCCATACAACACCCTAGCTGGTCATAAGACGAATTTTTATAAGGGAAGTGATCGAAAAAGTGATAAGAACCAAACTACTTGCAGTAGCTTTCGTTCTTGCACCAAAACACGTCAAAATATCTTGAAAATTACGGCCTTTAGGTTGACAAGACGAGCGGACAGACAAGCTTACATATATACAAAGACTGATTCCGAGTCGATCGGCGTAATACTTAAGTGCTCCTGGATATTGTGTACAAAAACAGCAAAAACTTGGTATACTCTTATACCACAAGTGATGTAGGATATAAAAATTGTTTGCGTAAAACGTAATGAGTCAACTAATTAATAGCTGTATAGCTACGTTCATTAGCGTGTCGAACGTTAAGCAACTTTTCTTTCTGAAGCGTCGCTACTTTAAAACGAATCTTTTAATTTGTTAGAGCCCATTGAATGAAGATATGCTTCTACTATATGGTTTCCAAGTTATCCTATAATATGTTGCTTTACTTTTCAATGACTGAAAAGCACCTGTTTCAAAAGAATGGTGAAACAATATTTAATGTAGCGCATTTTCTACCGACGGTTACAAATTTGACCCTTTTTTCTGAGAGGCTCCCCTATGACTTTCTTACCTAGAGCAGAGCTGCTCTTCTGAGAGCAAACACAAACCATTTTTGGGTGCCCGTCACAACAATCGCGCCAATTGTCGAAGGGGCAATAAGTCGTCGAATGCCACCCTTATTAGCTACAGGGAGCAATGTGTGGGGGAATAGCGTATCATAGTTCACTGCTGCTTACGTTCCCTAAGAGAATTCGGGGACGTAAGGGACGTAATCATCTTTAAAACAATTGGTATCGCGACTTTTGTTACATTACTTGCGTTTGTCGGTTCAATTCCTTCAGCTGTTCATATCGAAAACGTTGTACGTTTCAACTTGATTCCACCAACAGCCGACTCCGGTATAGTATGAGGCGATT